GCGCCGCGCCGCATCCTCTGCGGCGCGGGGTGAGGGGTTTGAGAGGAACTGGAGGAGGAGGCAGTGGACATGGTGGCTCCGCGAGCCCTGGACGACGCGGCCGACACCGAGGCGCGCGAGCGTGTGGGAGCCAGCGCGATAGTGCGTGCGAGTGTGTAAGGGGGAGGGGCGGGGGTATCGGGAGGGGGAGGAGTCTCTCGGCTCCCCCTTCCCAAGGCGCACCCCCGACGCCCTAGCGAGGGGGGAGGGGAACGCTGTGAAAACAAACGTCCAACGGCCCCAACCGCTCGGCCGGGCTCGGTGCGGCGGTCACCGCCGGGGCCTCGAGGAGCCCGGAACTGCCGCTGCCCGGGGCATCGCGCTGACAGGGGAGCTGGGGAACTGCTCCGATCACGCAGCCCCGCGGGGTGTTCGCAGCCTGCTTCTCAGCCCTCGTGGAGCTGTACGCGCGGCAGAGCGCCGCAGCTGCTGGAAGGGCCGGGACCCCTGCTTCTGGGGGCCGGGGTCGGGTCAGGGGGCCTCGATGTGCCTAGAGCTCCACGGAGCCCACGCCGCCGCCGCCGCCGCCTCAGCCCGCTCAGCTCCTCACCCCAAATGGCAACTGATTCAACCCAACACCCGAACCCCGCCCCGGGCGCCGCCTCTCCGCTCTGGGGGCCCAGCGGCTTCCTCAACGATGATTTCCATTGGCGCCATCGCGTTACTCCAGAACTCGAGTGATTGGTTCTGGTGCAGGAGTGAGAGGCGCATCTACCAATCAACTTGGTATTGCCTACTTGGGAGGCGGGGTGTGAGGGATGCAAGCATGAGTTGGGGGCGCTGTGCGCACTGGGAGGGGCGTGAGAGTTGACAGCCTTTGAGGTGAGAACTAGACTTTGATTGGGTTGCCCCAGGCAAGTGGGTCGTTGTCCACCTTGCGCGTGCCTGACACCCACAGACACGTGCGTGTCTGGGTGAGCAGGTTGCAAGGACTCCCCCTTCACCCTCCCCCCCCACCCCTTCCTAGGCCAAATGTCTAACCTGAAACAGAGGACGTTTAAGACAACTTTCATTCTAAGTATACCTGTTAGGGTGGGGTGTTTTAAAATCAAAACCTTGAAGAACCCATCCCTTCCCCCTCGAATTTTAGTATTCTGAGATTTCATGGCTAATAGTAGATGTGTTGATTCGAACTTCAGTCCACCTGAAGCAATGTCTGAATTCAACAGAGAGATGATACTTTTACAACCTATACTAAAATTTATAGCTAGGCACTAAGAAGAGTTAACTGAATCTTATGTTCCGAGACGTTAACTAAGAATTACAGAGGTCAACAGAGAATTTCACACCATTTCACCACCGGTTAGATACATTAATGGAGGGCACCCTATTGCCTTTTCCCCAGAAATAGATGACCTCTTGGGAGAAGTGAATACTAGACTTGATCTAAAATCCAGTGCGGTAAACTTAGTGTTTACTCTGCAATGAAACTGAAGAAAAAGATTTTTGGGTGAACATCAAGACTCTTTTTACCTTACATTCCAGCCAAGGTTTTAAACCTTAAGCAAAAACCGTGCATTGAAGGGTTAAAGGCTACATAAGATACCCTCCATTAATTTCCCTGAGATTAAAAAAAAGAGAGAAGTGGAACATCAAATTGATCTATTCCTGGTGTCTGCCCACAATGACAAGCTTCCTCTGATTTCAGGCACTATATGCAGGCATCAGCTTCACTTAAAGGAAACATTCCTCTCTGCTTTCTTGTGCCCTCAGATCAGAAATCATACCAGATTCTGTTAATTTAAAAAAAAAAAAGTAAGAAAATAGAAGAGTTGCATTCAGTTCTTCATCCCACTGAGACTAATCATAATACCTCGTTGTGTAATACACTAGATGAATAGCTAACATATACTCAATATTCACCTTGTGCCAGCCACTGTTCTAAGAACACTATATATGTTAACTTCATTTAGGCCTCCTACAATCCACAAGGCACACTGTGGGTTACTAGTATCCCACTGTGTTTTAAACTGAGGTACAGGAAACATAAATGCCTTGCCTGAGATTACTGAACTAGTAAGTGGGCAAATAAGAACTGCCTATGTGGACTGAGCTAGCCTCCAGCTTAAAGCTCTGGAATATATGCTTGGTATTTACAACTGTCCACAGATCTCTGGGAGATAGTCTCACTTGTTCAATGAAATTTTTATAATTGAAAACAGTCCACCCCATACACATATGCTTTCCAGAATAACATTTTAACTATAAAAACTTTACTCTGCCATTTGGTATAATGGACCTATTACATTTTGCATATGAAATGAAAGATTCCTCTTTAATTAGGAAATTAGATTTTTTTAATAGCAAAAAAACAGTTTTTTCAGAATAAGAGCAAAGCATTTGACACATTAAAAGATGAAGTTTGCAAAATGTTGGTAAATTTTTATGTTGTTAATTTGATTACAGCAATGATTTCATTATAGAAATGTCATCTCTGGCCACTCCTAAACAAGTATGGAAAAACCCCAGCACATTAGATTACAATAACTCTAAATTTATACCAAACCACTGTTATAGTGATCAATACTCTTTTTGGATCTAAAGTAAGATATCTAATTATGTTTTAAAGACTGTGTTAAACTGAGTCAGTTTAAGTCACATATCCATAGCAAATCTCAATGACTGACACAGAGAACTGGTATGATTTTAAAATACTGTTTTCAGTCACTGATAAGTCATCATGACCTATTTGGACATTCTGACCTATTTAGGTGTTTAGTCATCTCTTTTTCTAAAGAAACCTGGTCATCTGTTAAACCTTTATTCTCCTGAAATAAGTACTAATATTTATATGTAAGGAATTTAGGCTCCAAACAAATGAAAGTTGAGTTAAACTAAAATTAGTGCCTGCTTTGAAATGCCCATTTGTTGAATTCTTAAGTAATATTTTTATTGAGAATGGGACTGGGATCCAATGGTATTTAGAAGCTTTAGGAAAACATTCTCTTCATTTTGGAATTAGAAATATCCTAGAAGGAGGTATGTATAACTAGGCTACAAGAATGGTTTAACTGCTGTGCTAATTATGGGATAGATCAGCCCAATCCAGATGTTCTCTATTGAATGTAATTGTAACGATCTTTGGAAATTCTACATAAGACTTAATGACCTCTTTAATATATTGTCCCGACAAGAAGATGACAAAATTAAAAGCACAATTTGGTAGCCTGGGAAATACCTCTATTCTCATTAGCTCTATGTGTTGGATCTAGGGGACAGGAATCTAGCATTAGTTGATCTGAGGCAGAATTCTATTACAATTACTTATGTCTTGGTTTAAAAATGATAATGAACAATATTTTAGGTCAATTAAAATTTTAAATCATTGGCTACAAATGACTAGTATACATCCCCATGAGGAAAATGAATGAGATTAAAAATCAAAACAAAGACATGAGCTTCTAAACCTTTCTTTTGCAGATTTATCCAGGTTTGCTAGGCTGTACATCCGGGGTCCATCCAATCTCGGTGGCAGTCCAGGCTGTCATTATTAGCAATGAGGTCATGGCTGAGAGAAAACACTAAGCAGATCTCTACTGATGTCCAACTTAAGCTGATTAAACTCTCTTGCAGGTGGATTCTTAATAGTGAAAACAAACAAACAAAAGCCTGGCCTGAATTTTTGTTCCTGGTAAATGCTTACAGTAAAATCCCGTAGTGCTGTTGTGACACAGCCTACATGCGCCTTTGCATTAGGTGTTACCACTGCCTGAAAAGTTCTTGCTCCAGATAGTCACATAGCTTACTCACTCATTTCTGCCAGGTTTTTTTTTTTTTTTTTTTGGGTGTTCCCACCTCCACGATGAAAGCTTTTCTGAACACCTTTTTAAAAATTACAAATGCCCGTTAAATATTTCCTACTCTCTATCCTACTTTTATTTTCTCGGAGCACCTATCTCTATCTTAACTATTATATAATTATTTGGGGGGGGGTTCTGTCAATCTAACTAATTATGGGATAGATCAGCAGAAAGTCATAAAAGGCAGAAAGTGTTAGCTATTTTATAATTGCTGCATCTCTACAACAGTGTTTGGTATGTTGTAGGCACTCAAAATAGGTTTAGTGCTGTCAAAAAAAGAGCAAATTATGATCACACTATTTGTCCCATGAACTAAAACGTGTGCCTCTCATCAGAAAAAAAAAAAAAAAATAAGGTGATAATAACCATTGTATTTCTGCTGCAAAGGCAAAGCCACAGAGTAGAAAAATGTTTGTGGCTACTGCAAAGCATACAGACATTTCTGGGGGAACTGGTATTCAAACAAAGTATATGTTATGATCCTGATAGTGGTAAAGTGAGAAATACTAGTCCTAGTGGCTCTGGGATGTTCATCAGAGGTTGAAAATGAAAAATGAAATTGGTAATGCAGAAAAGGCAGTTGAAACTTACAGAAAAAAAAACTAAAATTGACAGAAGGACAGTTGAAAAGGATCAGTTAAGAAGTGACATCTGCTGATTTGTAATTAGTTCTATCTCACTGTTAGGAACAGCTATTCTCAAGAGGTTTGTGTAAGGGAACTGAAAAAAAAATTTAATTAAGTAGAAAGGAACATTTCTTGTAAATAGTAAAAAGTTTGCTTTCTGTTTCCTCTCAGCTTTATTGAGATATAATTGAACTTTAAGATTGTATTAATTT